CGTCTACTTATAGACAAGGACACAATTTCCACAGAATTGCGCAATTGCTTGCTTTATTGAGAAACACAATATCTACTGCTTTCATTGTGTTCACTATGTACGATTTTGTAAATTTTAATCCAAAAATATGGTGTAATTGCTGAAAATGCACCTATCCGGGTGCATAAAGCTACTACTGACTTGACTTGAAAATGGTTTCGAACCGACGGATAAACCTGGAAGCTGGTCAGTCCTGTGATCAGAGAGCAAATTTGTGATCTGTTAACCTCCCCCCACCTGAAAGCAGTAAGCGTGCTTGACTTTCTCGTAATGGTAAATAGCCTCCTTGATTTCAGTGAATACTCACCGCTGATGATGCAGAGTAAAATTAAACAATTCGTTTTCAGTATTCACTTTATTTGTCACGCCACAGTAGATCTTCAATCCTTAAAATAGTTAGAATAGAGTATCAGATTGATTGGGCTAATTATGAGAAAACTTCGAGTAAATGTCCTCCTATCTCCAAATTTCCCCTAATTCTCTAGCTGATTCTCCTGAAACAATACAGATCGTTCGAACGGTAACTCACCTGGATCGAGATAGTTGGAATCGGGTTCACTGAGCTTTCCCCCAGGCTCGGATCTGATTGAGTTTATTCCGGGATTTGTAATTCCATAATCCCTAGATGTCATGTCCCGTGGCGTTGCTGACAATTTTGCACTACCAACAGGGTAACCTGGTATAGACTGTGGCTGGGTCTGTTGCAGTTGTTGTGGTTCAAAGTTGTAGGTACACGATGAACCAGCAGTGGTCATAGGAAACGAGGCACCGATAGCAGTTGGCTGTCGTGTCAAGGCCGCGTATTTGTCCCAAACAGGAAGCGCTATCTCACCAGTCATACAATCGTTGACTGTGTGGCCGACATCCGGCAAGGTTCGACAAGAGTGATGCGGAAAACCACACGTCTGGAATGATCTTGTTCTCGTGGACAGATAGTTCAGATCCGTGAAGTTGGATGAGCAGAAATTAGAATCTGTATATTTCATTCATAAAGGAAAGCAGAAATGGGTGTTGAAACGACAGGATCACGACTCAATTGACAGCTTTTTGATGAAAGAGTCATTTTGTTTGCCTAATAAATGAACTAAGAGCGGATGTGAAGTGCTTACGAAGAGTTGCGTTTAATTAGTAGGAGCTTTTCTTGAAGTTAAAACTTTTTTCGTGAAAATGGCCGAAGTAGGCCTCAAAGTAAACCATAAAACTATTTTTATACACGGTCAAAATCCGGGTTGTTCCAATTTTAGTGATATACACTCAATTTTACAATGAATTATTTGGAATCGCCAGTGGCACTTGTATGTAGAGTTCTTTCTTTGAGAAGTGTGATTATTTATTAAAAATACAATATTTTAATACCAGAAAATCTATCATAATCATATTCTAGAAACCGGATTTTCGTAATCTGCATAAAAATGTATCGGATTTGCATCTCACTTGTTCTGTTAACTTTTTCCAACGTTATTGATACAAATTTATAAAAACTAACCGTGTGTTTTACACACAGTTTAGTTAGAAATTTATAAGATAAATTTTTTATTGAAGCTTCCGAAGTAAGCATTGAGGTAAATCAAATTAAACGGAGTTGTATCGTAATGCGGTATATTTATTGTTTTTTATTGGTGTGATTTACTTTGAACTGCCATCAATATCATAAACCTGTTCCAATCGAGATCTCCCAAGTTCATAAACTTGAAAGTTTTCAGTAAAAGCGCGTAGTGGTTTCTTTTCATTAATCTGAAAGGACCGATCAACACATGGGCGGTTAGATCGATCTGGGAGGATGTACGTTGACCTCGAGAATGTTCTACTTGAATAGACATAGTAGCACAAAAAGTAAATGGTGACAAACCCACTAAATCTTTTCCATCACCTTAAGTTAACCGCTCAAAAATATTGTCCTTTTGATGGTGTTCAATGGTGCACTAAAATTACATCCCAGTAGGTATTTGAGCCAACTCAACTACCTGGTTTTTGTATCCGGAAGGTGTATACTTATTTATTACATTAACAACATAATGTATAAAACTAACAATATCAATAAGCAAACAAGTGCATGGAATTCACGTTACAAATAAGCTAACAAGTGCTAACATAGGGAGTTTGCAATTTCAGATTTGATGTATTATCGGGACTACTTTGAAACACGTCAAACTGTTTTCGGCAACAAGCATGAAACGCTTCGATGTGTGTGCATGGCAAATCCTGCGGCGCGGCTGGATGAAGACAACCAAAATGCATTCATATGAATCAAATTAAACGGTGTCTGTTAGAACTTTATGACAAGGTTTTGGTGTTTCAAAATTCTTCGATAGTATAAAGTGGACAAAATGTGCACAATAAACATCGCTAGAGAGAAACGTGTCTTTGAAAGACCCAGAAACTAGTTTGAAACCCTTGGATGCTGAACCTGGGAAGACTACTGATGAGGCATTTAACAAACCAGTGTCGGATACACAAAGGGTTTAATGACACAAATTTATTCTGAAAAGTGTGGAGAGAAAAAGCAGTCTCCTAACTTTTTTTAATACCTGTCGAATATGTTTGAACTCTTTAGGACTGGGTTTCAGGCCTGTTCAAAGGTAGCTGCTGAAAAAAGCAGAATAAATTTATAATACATTAATACGAGATTACCCAAGAGTGGAATAAATTTAGCCTTTATCTGATAAAACAGCGAAATTGTAGGCTTTAAACAATTTATTATTATGGTGGTGAATGTTTGAATTGGCACATTCGGTTTTTCACAGGCACCAGGCACTGCTGATGATCGTGGGTGTGGGTTTCACTCCTTGGGAGATGGTTAACTCCCTACTGTGCGAATGGCTCAATCAATTTAGGGTATCAATTTTGGATTAGCCCATTCGATTTTTCAGAGGCACCAGGTTCGAGCCCTGACAGGGACACAAAATTACGCACTGCTGACGAGTCCCAGACAGGAGGAAACAGCTGTCCAGTGCTCTTTGTTGGTTATCACAAACATTTCCATTCCATTTAAAATTTATAATTATATTGCGAGTATCCGACTACTGTTTAATCAGCGAGATGGCATATTATAGGTTGAATAAAGATTCTCCATTATAATGGGGTCATCCAGGAATCAGATTGGCCGCGTATGTAGCCACTGAAGATTTGATGTCTGTTAGCATAGAAGAGGTGGCAATATAGCTCATTGGAAAACCTACATTGAGTTTTTTCCGTTCGGTAAAATAATCGGACAGTATGGTGGTTTGGTCACCAACTTATGACCTGGAGGCCCCAGGTTCGAACCGCTCCATCGCCTGCAGTCGTCCCTAATTCGGTATTTTCCAGGCAGCCTTTGTATGGCCGCGGCCCCTTTCCTGAATATGGACTGTGCTTTTGTAAATTCAATATTTAAAAAAAGAAGTAAAAAGGCATTTATTTTTTAGGAGAAATGTATCGATCACTAGGGAAGAGCTTTTTCTAGCAAGCTGGTTATGAAAAGGTAACGGAAATAATGGGTTAGAGTGATTAATCCATCCGAGAAGAGTGTGTGCGTCAAAATCAAACCGCTGAGAACAGTGAATGTTTACCTCAGCCAAGAGTTTGAACTGAGGAAACTTTTCAAAGCGTTCAAGATAACGGAATCACATGCATTAAGACTGGGGTTATAACTAATTTCTGGAGAAGTATTTTTCATAGAATCCATTATCCAAGACTTTGAAATTTTACCATGTGACAAGCAATGATTGAATTCGTTAGATAAAGTGGGAGACGATGAAGAGTTTAAGGAATTTCCTGTAAACTTTAGAGAGTTGAACGACAAAAATGGGCCTACATAAATGTGAATCAACATGTAAAGTTCCGAAAAGTGAATGAATTGGTTTATTAAGATTGAAATTATTATTAAGTTCTTCCGCAACAGCAGCTGGCAGCCTGTAAGTTGACGACCGAGAAAAAAGCTTTCTGATTTCTTTTGTCTCTTTTGACATGTTCTGTTGATGGCGTTCTGTTGAGTTAAATAAAATCCAACTAAAACTTCGGTTTTCATTTACACGGTGAGTGTTTCGACAGCAAGATCTGTATGCCTTTTTCAATGAGAAATTCGTTTGAGGTGAGAAAAATAGAAATCATATCTGCAAATCTGGCAATTTCAAAGTTTAATCGATATCAAAGCCAAATTTCATGTAATTTAAAAATGTTCCCAAAATAATGTGAAAAATTATCATGACTACTTTCGAAAAAATGCTTCATCTAGAAATTTCTGTGGTATAAAATATAAGACCATAAGACATAAGACAGGAAAAACTCTTAGGCAATATGATTTGCTATTTCAACGACTCGACAAATTGAATTTCTTACCTGGTTGATCGTGTAATTCAGAATCAGGTGGATTAGATAACCCTGTGGGTCGGAAGTAGTAAGAGTTGTACATCGGTTCGTTCACATTCAAACTGGGCGTCAACCCCGTATTAGGATCCGAATTAGGAGGCTTCAAACTTTGTTGTGGAGAATCATGAACTTCTGGCTGGTTAGTGGAGGTTTCTTGAAACTGCGAAAATAGATTGGAATTCGCTGCTATTTCCACTGGACCTTGTTCGCTAGCAGTTCCGATCTGAGAAGTGTTGACTGATTGATCAGAAAAAATTTCCTCTAAAAACTGAAAGGGCGTTTGATCTTTAGGAAATTGGTGCTGTTCTTGTTGTTGCGACTGTTCCATCTCTTGTGTAATCGGGCAACTCAAGTTGAGAGACATATCCTGTTGAGAAGAAGAATCTTGAAAATTGGAATCAGAGGTCACGCTATGCGGTGAACATGTCAGCTGAGAGAAATTGTTTACAAATCCTCCTTGTACGGGAGTGCTGGCGAAAGGCAAGACCCATTCTGTCGACCGATTTACGCTTTTTTCGGAAAAATTGGAAGAATTCCGGTCAGAAGAAAAATAAAAACTGTTTGTATAGAAGCTTGTTGCATAGGGATTATTTGAATGGATTTGAAGCAAATCTGGATGCGTTTTCTCAAAGGTTTGTTCTATGGAACACCGAAGAACTGCAGTTTCTGGCGAAATTAAATCCATCTAGGAGCCAAACAGCCAAAGTGAGAAAAAATCTGTAAACGAGTTATAATTGTCGGTTATGGTATAATAATGGTACAAATATCTGCCAAATATCTGACGTGGCTTGGCATTTTGATGAAGTTTCGGACACAATATTTACAAAATGTGACCAAGAGCTTTACATATTATTATTCCTAATTTATTCTAAAGCTTTTTAAAGCGCACAAGAGAAAAATTATTAAACGAAAATGACAAATTTGTAAACGTTTGTAGCAGGAGCTATCAGAGTAACAACTGAAAATTGATTCCAAATGGTATGCATTTTAACCAGAAACATCTATATGTGACACGCATTCCAGGCTCTTAGCATTGAGCAAATTGATGCTTATCACGTAAAATAATCTCATTTTTGTGCACACAAGTTTCTGAGGCAATTAGTCAAACTACCGTGGAACTGGTATCCACTTCCCTTGACTGTAGTCTGTTAAACCACTGCACTTATTGGAACTTCAATGTCAAATACGAGATTACTGTAAGTTATAACAACTAAGGAGATTATAAGAAATCTTAACTTGTCTTATATCTGTTCTAACGGGCAGGCGAAAGAGGAATTAATCTTTAAAAATTGACATACATGGTAATGAAAGTCGTTGCAAAATGTTTTCACCAGAGACAATGATAATACTGCTTACCTTTGGAGGAATACATGAATTGTAACCCAGCTGATTGCAGCTATGACTGTCATCAAAAAAATTCATTGAGTCATGGTTTGAATTTATAGACGTTTCGATGGAAGAACTTTCATTTTCCAATTTTGATAATAATTCTCTTTCCGTCAAAAATCTTGGACATTCCATTTTGTTTTCTGTGTTGGGTAAAAAATTCCGTAAAGTTAATCAAGTTGATACGCTTCCATGCAGTATAGTGTTAATGATTACCCAAAAGTTCATCTTTTGTTTTTAACGTATTAATCCTAAACTTAACAAAAAAAGCATTCGCAAATTTACTGAATAAAAATATGAGGTGTAATATTTATAAAATGCTTTTTAAACTGTTGCATTATCCTTTGTATTTCATACCAATAGCACTAAAATTATCAACGTTTATAGATCACCAAATTCGGTTTTATATTTAATTTATGCGGTTTTGGAACATTGCTTATTTCAGTTATTCTTGTTGTCGCGCGTTAAGTCAAACGTACAACAGGTCATTATTATATTGGCTTCGTAAACAGAACAATATATAAACAGGATTGCTAATTTGGCCCCTATATATCAGCTTTGAATAATAAGTATTTAATAATTAGCAACAAACTTTAAACATTTCCCCTTTGAGGGTATAACAATCACGCAGAAATAGCTGATGTTTAATCTTTTTTGAACTAAACGCCTTCCGTTTTTCGCTTCATGGTTACAGCTGTGCTCAGTCTTAGTGGAAGGCTTTAAAAGAAAATAACGCCTTTGTTAGGAACATTAATTTCTATTATTTCCGAATTTTAACTGAAGTTGCTCGAATCATATAAATAAAGACCTTTATGTTCGTTATACCTCTTTGATTCAACTATATTAGAAACGAAAGAATCTGTTATACATGAATAAAAAGATACTCACAATATTCCCAAGCTTAAGAAAGTCTCAACAGAGTTCAGGAAATTACTTTCTGAGTTAAACCTTTGGTTACACTCCTTGTAAAAATCAGGTCTCGTGGATTCATTTTGAATGCATTGGTGGGACATAAACGTTTACTTCTCCTTACGATGCAGATAGAAAAATGAGGGTGTATAACGCTTACAGTAATTTATTAATAATATATCAAATCATCATGGAGAGCTGACATCGGTATCATAGGGAGGAAGGTTTGTTTATTTGCTTCAATTTACATATTATCATTTATCCCCGAGTAAATGATGTATTCTCTAGATATTGAATCTTATTCAAATTTAAGTTTCATTGTGAACAATACACTATATTTCTGAGGAAAGCTATCTTTATTCATGATCAGATGCATAAAAAGTTCCTACAAGTATAACGTGTAAAATATCTAATTTTTAAATACTTTTGTTCTAGTCCATAATTCTTAAAAACGACAGCGGCGCTTTGAGCCTTTGGAAGTTCAATCCAATACCAGTGGGGTCAAGTTATCGCTTTCAATACAAGAGAGTTTATTTTCTCTTTGATTGCTCAGTTATCAAAAACTTAGGCCTTTTTGGTTCAGCTTCTGGCATGAGAATGCTCTTTTGCTATCATTTTGCCTTGGGTTGATCAATGGTTAGATCTATGAAATAGCTATCTATAGCTCCAGAAGATATGTGCAGATTACTGAAGGAACTTAAGACCAAAAAACATCTGAACTCACCGAGATTAATTCATCTATCATTAAACTAATAACTGTCATCATTTACTAACCAATGAGCCTGTTTTTCCAAACATCTTTGTACACAGAGTTCTACCAAGTTACTGAGGGACAGCTTCTGTGACCGAAATCCAAAAAGGTGGGCTCATATAAGAAGCTACAGATCGGTAAGCGTAACCGTTATCCACCGTAAATGCATGAAGAAATTGATGCAAGAGTATGGACTTAAGTAAATTCCGTCTCATTCACTCCTACTTGGGGTATAGCTTGTATTACCAAAGCATAATGCTTGCCATCTAGAAGAATTTAAATAAATACTAGCCAAAAATTGATATAAGAAACTATATTAATTTTAGCAAACTTTCCAATCTGTGACTGCTTCTGCACCAAATCAAAGTTTTTATTTATAGGGAAACTTACACAGATGGCTAATCACGGATATGTCTTTTGCACTGAGGGGGTATTATACCATAAGTCATTTGACTTACTAGTGGAGTCTTACAGAGTTTCGTTGCCGGACCATTACTCTTATTCTTATTCTTTACTGAGTTGGTTGAACTAATCAATTTTACATGTTTCGTTCTCATGGATGGTGTGAAGCTGATTAGATCAAGTTGATGGGTCAAACAAGAGAGTTGAATGAGAGTAGTTGAATGATCAAAGGAAGGGCATTTTTCACATTCAGGACAATTTCAATGTCCAGGGCCTATTAGTTTTTAATGACTGTTGTAAAGTAGGGTGCTTTCGGAGTAAAAACAATTAAAACAACCAAGGATCTTGGGGTAATCACGATTTCTGATCTCATTTGAAACAATCAATGTGAAATGGCACCCCACAAGGTTGGATGAGAAATGTTTTAGTTTAAGAAGCCCCTCGCCCATTAAAAACCTAGAACATTTTACCATTGTATGAAGAAATAGTAGCTACTGGGTCCTAGTAACCCATTTGGAATATCATTTTTAGGCCTGAATACCTCTGCACAAAGGCAACCTTCTTGTCTGGAGAAAGCCCAGAGAATAGCGACAAGAATGGTGGGGGATTAAAAAGACAAAACCTATCATAAACGATCACGGAATCTCACCCTATGCTCCTTAAATAATGTGAATTCGTGGAGATCCTATAAGTTGTTTTAAATCAGAAGGGGATTCTTTAGGATCCCTCCTGAAGATTTTCTTCAATAATTTCCTTGATGGAGGCTTGAATATGGTGGACCTTCTGTTTACCCCTGCACGTTTTC